CCACATAAAATAAAGATGTTGTGTCCACCGAAACTGAAAAATAAATATTAAAAAATTCTCTCTCTAAAAAAAGTAGTATTAACCCATTACTCAAATAGTGACCTATTTTTTTTTTAATTTAAAAATCACTAAAGATTGTAAATGAGGTATTTAAAGATTTTCCAAGTACTTTACCAACTTAGGAGACACTATCCCAAGTCAACAACTTTTATTATAATATATCATGATGCCAATAGATCTATTTTTAGACTTTGTGAGTAAAAGCCCACAGGATGTTTGGAGTTGCCCTTTATTTTAAAAGCTGTAAAACAATCTTAAAATTTGCTGGGATCAGAATCTATACTTCCTATTTTGTTCTCTCAACTAAATGTTGTTGACTAAACAAATGTTTCATGCTCTTCATCAGTTCTAAAATTTCACTTTTTCTTTTTACCTGTGGTCCTTTATACTAACCTATTCCTTTAAAACGCCTTTCTCCTTTTCCATCTCTAAATATTTCTGTGAAATGGCCTAAAGGTATTTCATGGGTTAAATTAAAAAAAAAAAAAAAGTCCAGAAAAAGTGTTTAGCAAATGTTAACAAATATTTCTTCTGCAGTCGGCGCCTGGAGCGGGGCTCTGTGGATGCGCAAGGCAGGCAGGGAGGGTTTTTCAACCAGACGACTCCACTTCACCGAGAGCACGAAAAAGACGCGTCCTGGAAGAGGTTCCCGCAAAGGAGTTGAAGGAAAGAAACCTCCTTAAGGGGGTGATATCACAGAGACTCCGAGGGGGCGGGCCCGGAGAGTCCCAGTCCAATTACCTTGGAGAGGGGAAGAGGAGCGGTAATCACGGAGAGGAGGGGACACCATGCCACTCACGGGCCAATAGCCCCAGTGCGGATTCTCTGCTTCCGTGGCAACCAAGCAGCAGGAAATGATGCAACTCCAGTTCCGTTCTGTCTGGCCCCGCCTACCTCTTTAGTCCCGCCTCCTAGGCCCAACCCCCAGCCCTGGTCATTCCTCCACCCGCTGCCTTTCCCAGTCCCAAGCCAGTTAGGAGCTCTCGCCTAGATTGTTAGGGGTTTTGAGGCAAGGGATTTGAGAAGGGAAATCAAAAGTAAGTGTCTATGAAGTTGGTGTCCACATACTACAAAGCCTGGTCACTCCAACGAAGAATCTTAAAGATGTTGAAGAAATACAGTGGAACATCTATTTAATTAATTTCTTTGTAAGTAAGAAAATTAATCCTAGCGATTTGACAGGTTTTTATGTGGGGTTAAGAGTAAGTCCCACACTAGCTGAGGGTATACCTCAGTTAGTAGAGAGCTTGCCTTGTATGCACACAGCCCTGAGTTCAATCCTCAGTATCACCAAAAAAAAAAAAAAAAAGTAACGCATGACAGCAGTCCATTACTATTTCTAGATTTAAGATCTGTAACTGGCAAAGCCTAAAATAGTTTTAAATTGAAAATATGACTTTTTTAAAAAGATGAGTTTTCAAATAACTTTAAATTTTACAAATACTGCATATGTTATGCAAGTTTGATTTGCTTAAATACCTACGAGTTGATACTTTGGCTGTGTTATTAGTGATGAATTATTGTAATGTAAAATAATCTTGTTCAGGACTACCCAGTTCTGCTATTTCCCACCTATGCTTATGCATGTTAATACAACGTGTAAAGAAGATGACCATTTAGGGAGAAAAATTTTCCTATAAAAACATTTGTACAGAAGAAATCACCTGAAAGCTAACTCAGTAGCTCACTGAGCTTCCAGAATTCTTTAAAAACATTATCATAATCATAATAAGCCGAATGAGCTTTAGTTCCCTTTTATGTAGTTACTTTGCTACAGTCATACAGAGTAACCATGAATAATGTAAAAATATGGTTATGGAAACATTACATGTACTTATAATTTTTTTTTAATTTTTTTTTTTTTGGTTTTTTTTTTTTTTTTTGGTGGACACAATATCTTTATTTTATTTTTATGTGGTGCTGAGGATCTAACCCAGTGCCTCTTGCAGGCCAGGTCAGCGCACTACCACTGAGCCACATCCTGAGCCCCTATAATTTTTAGTCTAATAGAAACTGGGTTTAAAATTTAAAAACTGTTAAAACTATACAATAACATGAATGTACTTAATATCTCTGATCAGTACACTTGAAAGTAGTTAGCATGACAAATTTAGATATGTTTTACAATTTGAAGATTAAACTTTAAAAACTACGAAATTTAAAAAAAAATTGTTCTTTAAAATTACAAAATTAAATTTAGTACAAAAGTAAAACATTCAGAACAAGTTTTTCAGTTTAGAGAATGAAATATTATATATGTTTAAGGTTTATCACCTTGTTTATGTAGTACTTTAAAATAAGCCTTACATATTTTAATGAAGTGTTTATTGCATTATTTCACATACACATCAGAAACAATAGTTACTGTTGAATACTATGTGTTCTAACATTGCAGAATCAGTAATTTCTATGTAAAAGGTTCAGATCTTTTTTTTTTACTGCTCTAATACATGTAAAAATTCTTCAAAAGAAATAGTATCTTTCTTTAAAGTAGACAGATCATTTAAGACACAAAACCTTCAGCTATTCTGTTTATTCATTTATGTGTTCACCAGGAAACAGAGATCAGGAACTTCTGTGTAGTTTCACAAAAATCCTTCCTTCTGTTCCTCTATCCATTCATTCTCTTCCTCTTATTTTTCTTTTCATAAATATGATACTACTTATGGTATACTAATAACATCAATATTCCTGCGTTCTAATTTTAAAGGCAAGGATTTCTCTGTATCAGACATGTAAAGACAAAAATAGGAAACAAAATGAATTGGTATGACAGAAGAGAAATATTTGTAATGTAGAGGGAGAGGATAATTAGATGCCATTTCTTTCTGCTCCCACCATGGCACTGGAACAAACTCCAACAATGGACAAGACTGCCCCTGAATATGAGCATTTTTATAATTATGGAATATATCTCATTTAGTAGATATAAATCACAATGTCACACAGTGACACAAGTTGTGTGGTGTTCCAAGGAAGTCAGAGGAACCTCTAGTCAGGCATCAACTTCCTGTTGAGGTTTAGCAGGTTGAAGGTTGGGGAATGGGAGAAGCACCTTTCACTATTTTTTTTATATAGAAATCTATCCTCCTTATCCCCACAACTTTCATTAAAGATTTCCCTTTTGCTTTCTTAAAGGGGGCTTAACAACCCACAATAATAGTAGCAATGAATGATCTATAAAAATCAAGATCACAGTCCACATCAAGTCTGTTAGAGTTTCCCTTATTCCTTTCTCAATATTCTGAACAATATAAGCTTCTCTCTTTTCTGCAGGACAAATTTTTAACAGAGTAACTGTGTAATGTTAGCAGTGATATCCTAGTAAACTGCTCCCAAAAAACAAAAGAATGCAATCCCTAATTTGTAGGGTTTGCCAATTTCAGATGCCAAAATATCCTCATCACAGGCAATTTTAAGGCACCAATGTGATGTATTGATGTGAAGCTGGAGAGATAATCCACTGGAGAGTTAGTAGGAGAGGGCTCTAGGACATCACTGAATCAGGCACTTTGTTCTTAGGAGGATTGATATTTTGCCTACTAGTTCTTTTAAAAAAAATAGTCTTTAATAATGGAAAATGAACCCAGGGGCACTTTACCACTGAGCTACCTTCCCAGACCTTTTATTAAACTTTTATTTTGAGACAAGGTCTTGCTAAATAATGGGATTACAGGCTGCTGTGTCCAGCTGACAGCTATGCTTGATTGGCTTGTTAAACCAAACTACTCATTGAAGGAGTTCGGAAAATATCAAAACATGCCACATTTGTATAGTGATTTTAAATTGAAGGCACTTGAAAAATAGGAAGAATGCGAGGCTGACTTCTGCTCCATTTACTTTAAGAAAAATCTTCCAAAATGATTCAGCTGTCATAAATCCTCTGAATATTCATTTTTATCTCAGGCAAAAAGATTTCACCATATCCAAACTCATCTATTCCTTTAAGAATCCATCTTTCTTTCTCCATTTACTCTGAGGTTTCTTTGTAGCCTGTTCCTACTGAACCCAGTTCAGTTTGTCTGACTATTTATATAGGTGAGACTTTCCTGTATCTGTCAGCACTTGCAAATCCATCCTGGATCAAAAAATTTGCTCCAATAGGCTGTGGTATAGCTCAGTGGTATTTTTTTTTTTTCAGTATGTGTGAGCCCCTGGGTTTAATCCCCAGCACTGCAACAAACAAACAAAACAATAAACCCAAAAGGTTTGCCCAAAACACAAATCCAAAGAGCTTTAGAACCAGAGAGAAGTAACCTACAATTCCCAGATGCTACAAGAAAACAATGAAAGTGACGGGCTCAATGGGAACCTTACCTGATGCTGCTGGAGGTCACTGGAACTTTGATTTGGATCCCGATGACCAGGCCAAAACTGTTAAAAGGAAAATTCCTTAAACTAATAAATTTCATGGAGTTTATTTGAGCAAAACAAAGACCATTGGAGAATCAAGCAGTTCCCAGAACCAAAGCAGATTCCAAAAATTTCAATCAACACTGTGGTCCAATGGCATTTATAGGAAAACAGAAATGATGCCTAGACAACAACTTAATTGGCAACCGCCTAGTCAGCCAGTTGGGTATAGTTTACCTAGCTGATTGTTTACAACTCAGTTAGTTGGCTGCAGGGCCTCTAAAACCAGCTGAAACTCAAGTTACTGCTATTGTCTATATGGGTTTGGTGTATGTGTGGGGCCTATCACAGGTCTCTAAATCCAAAGTCTCCCGTAAGTTTTATTAGCTGAAGGAACAGAAAAACCTTCATTGTGACAACAAGAATAGAACCTTGTTGTAATATTCTTCCCTTTGTAAGTCTCCATGTCAGCCTAAAGAGTTCCAAATAAGGGAGTCACTTGGCCCATTGCCCCAGTGGTGAATGATAAAATCATGGAGCAGAGGACAAACTATTTTCCTTGGAAGATTTATTTTTTTTTCACTTAGGTGGCAGGTGCCTTCCTTTTCTGTTTCATGACTACAGTGCTACTGGTACAAGGAATGCAAGTAGTGGCAACAGTTCTCCTTACTGTTTGGAGATGCTGAAGCAGAGTGGATGGGTGAGCTGTGAAAGAGTTATAGTTTTCATGTTCATTGTCATCTGAAGCTTGGTGCTTCTTGCTGTACACTAGTAGTGAATAATAACTCTTAGAGTGGGGATAGATCCTTGGAAACCACGGAAGGAGTCTTACTCTCTGCCGATTTAAAGGATTCCTCTACTACAAGATATGATCTACATGAAATGGGATTTGGTTAAAGCATATCTTTACTAAAAGGCTCAGGTATTTGTCCCAAACCTTACAAATTGGGAGTAATATTGCAACTTCGTACCTGTGGAAGGCTTAGACCCAGAAACAGATTTGGATGCCAGCAGGTAGAAGATGATGCAAGATGCAGTTGGGATAGTAGATATTGTTTATTCAAAGTTGGCCTATAGCCTCCAGCTTTAGCTTAATTTAGCTCCAACCAGTTCCATTTAGCTCCATTGTGCCATTTGTATGGGTCCTTTTTATGCAGGCCAAAGAAGGCACATTGCCAACAAGTTACATAAGTGGATGCACGCTCACAAGCAAATGTTTATGACTTTGAGTACCTACACTGAATCTGGGTGTTGTGTTCATGACCTTGGCTACATACTAAAAACAGCCTGCTGGAAGCCTAACTATAGCTGTTTGGGGCCTGTCCTACAATACCCTTACATGGATCTCACTGGCTTAGGTGGTCCTCAGTTCCCAGGCCCTCAGGGGTGTATGGCATATAAAGAATATATCTTATCTCTGTTTCTGATTCTCAGCACAGAGCTTCAAAAACCCTTAGAATTTCCAAAGATAGAAATATCTTTGTTATAAGTACAAGTGGTAAACCCCTAGATAGCTTCAGAATGAGAGATAGTCAGCATAAACACCAGTGCATGATTACAGAGGGTTGGGACTTTGAATAGCCTACACTCCAGAAAGAGGAGAGATGCTAGAGATTGAGTTCAATCATATGGCCAATGATTTAATCAGTCATGCCTATGTAATGAGAGCCTCCCTCCAACCTGCAAATTGGATGTCAAAGCTCAGAGGAACTTCCTGGTAAAGATATTAATGTACTGGAATTGTAGGAAGTCCTCATTCCCCAAGGAGAGTGTGTGGAGCTCTGTGCTCCAACCCAAGCTCCATCCTATATGTTACCTTTATAATAAAACTGTGATTGTTAGGTACAGATGGTTTTCAACTTATGATGGTTTAACTTACACATTTTTTTAACTTTAAGATGGTATGAAAACATAATATGCATGCATATTTAAATTTTGATATTATCTGAGTCAGCAATATACCCTATAATACTCCCTCCTGATGGGGCAATAGCAGCGAGCCTCAGCCCCCAGTCAGCCACAGGATCATGAGAGGAAACTGATACTCTACAGTGCACTGTGTTGCTAAGCTATGAGGTTCAGTATGTGAGGTGTATTAAATGCATTTTCATCTTATAATGGGCTTTGTAGGGCACAGTGCCATTGTAAGTTAAGGAGCATTTGTACAGTGCTTTTTTGAGTTTTGAGTTGTTCTAGTGACTCATTAAACCTGAGGGTGGTCATTGGAACCCCTTAACTTTTAGTCAGTTGGTTAGAACTGTAGGTGGTCTGGGGACCTTACTCGCAGCTATAAGGGCAGTCTTGTGGAAGACTGAGTCATTAAACCTATGGTGTTTGATGCTAATGGATGGGTAGCATCAGAATTGTATTGAAGTATATAGGTTGAGCATCCCTAATCCAAAAACCCCAAATCCAAAAGGCTCCAAAATCTGAAACTTTCTGAATGTCAACATAATGCTAAGTTTTGAATTTGGGACATTTCAGATCTATTTTCTGATTAGGGATGCCCAACAGGTGAAGCCTATGTAAATATCCTCAAATCTGAAATACTTCTTCTTCCAAGCCTTTTAGATAATGAATACTCAGCTCAGTTTGGGGTGATGAGATGTCTCACAAAAACATTCTTTTTTCTCCTTACTCTTCTCTTCTTCTCCCCTCACTTCTGGATGTCATGTTTCCTTCTATGTATATCACCTCTGCTACCCCCCTGCCTTCCTGCCCCCTGTCCACTTCCAGGATGTGCTACTTATTCCTATAGAATAAAGAAACCCCAGTCTCCTACTTTCCTTGTTTCTAAGAAATATTACAATATAAAGTTGCAGCTTAAAATTAGTGGTTTCCCCACTATTTGACCCAGCTATCCCACTCCTTGGTCTAAACCCAAAGGACTTAAAATCAACATACTGTAGGGACACAGCCATAGCAATGTTTATGGCAGCACAATTCACAATAGCTAAACTGTGGAGCCAACCTATATGCCCTTCAGTAGATGAATGGATAAAAAAACATGTAGTATATAAAGACAATGGAATATTATCCAGCAATGAAACAGAATAAAATCATGGCATTTGCAGGTAAATGGACAGTGATGGAGAAGATAATGTTAAGTGAAGTTAGCTAATCCCCAAAAAACAAATGCCGAATGTTTTCTCTGACATAAGAAGGCTGATTCATAGTGGGGTAGGGAGGGAGAACATGGGAGAAATAGAAAAACTCTAGACAGCGCAGAGGGGTGGGAGGGAAAGGGAGAGAGCATGGGGTTAGAAATGATGGTGTAATATGATGGACATTATTATCCAAAGTACATGTATGACGACATGAATTGGTGTCAACATACCTTGTATACAACCAGAGATATGAAAAATTGTGCTGTATATGTGTAATAAGAATCGTAATGTATTCCGCTGTCATTTATTTTTTTTAAATCAATAAAAAGAAAAAGAAAAAAAATTAGTGGTTCCCTCTTCCACAAAACTCTACAAAGAGGACTTGGCTTGCAGGAGATTTAGCTTTGGTCTCAGTGTCTGTAGTGTTGGAATGCAGTGGGGATGCAGTGGCTGGGAGAGGGGAATCTGTGGCTCTGTGCATAAAAGAGGACTTTTTACTCTTCTGTCTAGCTGATATTCTCTCCGGTTTTTTTGTTTTTGTTTTTTGGGGGGTCTTTTTTGGTACTAGGGATTGAACTTAGGTGGGGGGTCTATACCACTGACCTGCATCCCCAGTCCCTTGAATTTTTTTTTTTTTTTGTTGTTGTTGTTATTTTGAGACAGGGTCTTGCTAAGTTGTTTAGGGCCTTGCTAGGTTGCTGTGGCTGGCCTTGAACTTATGGTCTTCCTGCCTCAGCCCCAGAATCACTGGGATTATAGATGTGTGTCGATAAGCCTGACATTCCTCAACCCTGTGAAGTTAAACATACCTCATCACAAGAATGATTCCCTTCCTTCCAAACAAGAACTTTTATAGTTCTTCTAACCTTGGCTTTATTATTCAAGGGGACCATTAACTCTCTGCCTATCTTCTTGTATTTTTACTAGCAATTGAAACTAATGTCAAAATCAAATATTTTTTTCTCTAACATTATATTTCTGCCCATTAGGGATGGAGTGGTGGTGAAAGAAGTTTGGGTTCATTCATTCACGAAGACATAATTGAATTAAAATTAGACCGATTCAGTTTGAGGTGGTGATAATCTCTTAAAAAACAAAATGTATCTTTTTCAAAATTTTTTATGGAAATTTATTTAAAAAGTATATATAAATATGTCCCACCACATAAAATTCAGACATAGTAGATTTAAAAAACAGCATAATGGAAAATATAAATATGCATTCTATTTTCATATTTAAACCTTATGTGCATTCATTGTCTTTTCCCAGGTTGGCATTTTTAACAATGTGATTCACTCTCATAGTAAAAACAACTTAAAAGTATAAAACAAAAATTCCCCTCCCTCTATCCCCTTCTCAGATAGCAAATCTCCCTCAAAACTTTCAGCCATGTTGTCTTTTTTTTATGGTGCTGGGGATTTAACCTTGGGCCTTGTGCATGGGAGACAAGCACTCTACCAACTGAGCATATTCCCAACCCAACCATGTTCTCTTTTACATAAATGCCTTCACATTATATAGTTCTATAACTTGCTTTAACTCAGTACTGTTGTGGAAACCTTTTGTGATGATATAAAGCTGCTTCATTCTTTTTTAATAGTTGTACTTATTTCTTTGATATATCAGGCAATTCACTAACGAAGGCTACATAGGGTGTTTCTGCATTAATGCAGCAATGAACATGTTAATACCTATTTAGACAAATTAAGCTATTATATCTGCCAATAGATTCTTTCAATCCTTTGAAAAATCAGACATTTTAAGTGAAAATTGAAATATTAAAAATGAATAATGGATTATGTGGGCAACGTGTGAACTGGAAGGGAAAGAATCAGGGATATTCAGTAGTCTTGTCTTTACTGAATTAAATTCAATTCAACAAATTAAAAAGCCTGTAAAACTAACTTTTTTAAAGGCTGTGGTCAAATTGATGAGATGGAGGATTATTTAGATTAAGGCTACTCTCTTCCCATAGAATTTCTTGAGGGGCTCCTCTTTATTTCTCGAGCACATTCTTCCTGTTCCATTCCCTGAAGCTGCCTGATTTGTCTCTACTTGATTTTAACTACCTGGACTGTTTGGCAGTAGGAAAAATTAATTTTAAAAATTTAAGATGTGTCTAATAATATACCATTAGCCATCAGGACCTGGGGTTTGGATGGCAGAGAGTTATGAAGGAGGGAGGTAACTTTTCTTTCTAAAATCCTGGTTTGGACAACCCCTAAACCCTTGGTACAATATATGTAAGACAAAGATTTATCTTGCTAAGTTTCTTAGGGCCTTGCTTATTTGCTAAGGCTGGCTTTGAACTTCCAATCCTCCTTCCTCAGACTACCAAGCTGCTGGGATTACAGGCATGCACAACAATACCCAGCTACAATTTCTCCTTAGTTTTGTCTCAGGCCTAAAATTTAGCTAAAAAGATATGAGCAGTGCATTAAAAAAATTCCCTCTATACTCTGTATGATACCTTACTGTCAGAGTCATCTTCCTGTTTTTTAATTATTCTCATCAGACCTTCCAAGGTTGGAAGCAGAAACTGCTAAATGCCAAAAGCACCTTGCAAAAGGAGAAATTATGCAGTGAGGAGGAA